CATTCTCACATCTGACTGATACTCAGTCAAATGAAAATGAGTAGTCAGAACTGGGGTTGTTTCCCCTGTAAAATAAAAGTAGAATGATGGGCACTCTTATCCACTATCAAATCCACCAGAGGCTATGAAGGAGAAATATGAACCGTCTCCTCTCAAGCAATTTATAACTTGAAAAAACTTGATAGAGCGTCAGCTTATGAGTTTCTTCCAACTCCATACTAATGCATTGAGCCAGTGAGTTGATTGTCATTTGTTAGAAAGATGAATAGGCATGCTTCCATCTATTCATTACTAGTGCCTTTTGCTCCAAATGTTTCTATTACAGCCACTCTACTGAAATACCTGATTTCCTGGAAATGTAATAAATTTATTGGTGAACCAATGATTCATTCTTAAAGTGATCTATGTGCCATAGTTGAAACTATACAAGAAAAAAAAGACACGACTCAGGAACCTTGACTTCTGGACTTGAATAATTTTGGATGCAAACAATGGCAGTTGTGTTTTCAAAACTATTTTAACATAGATTTTCTTCCCATGACCTTTTTCATAGCTTGTGCCACTTCCTTGTTTCTCAAACTGTAAATTAGTGGGTTTAACATGGGGGTCAGGATGGTGTAGAACATAGAGAGACCTTGGTCCATCTCTGGTGTGTGGGAGGAGCCAGGTGTGATGTAGACTACTACACCTGGACCCAAGAAGAGACTCACCACGGTCAAATGGGAAGAGCAAGTGGCCAAGGCTTTTTTTCTTCCCTCAGGTGTGTTCATTCTGAGTACGGCGAGGAAGATACGAATGTAGGAGATCATTATAAGGCTAAAGGGGATGAGGATAAGTGCAGTACTTACCACAGACACAAACATCTCATAATTCAGAGTGTCCTCACAGGATAACTTCAGGATGGCTGGCATCTCACAGAAGAAGTGGTTAATCTCCTTTAGTCCACAGACAGGAAAATGCATGGTGTAGATGGTTTGAATGAGAGCATTTAGGGCACCTCCAGCCCATGATACCACCGTCATTAGTAAGCAAACCTTAGGGCTCATGATTATTGAATAACGCAGCGGATTGCAAACAGCCACAAATCGGTCATAGGACATAAGAGTTAAGAGAAGACACTCAGCACCACCAAGAGTCAGGCAGAGGAACATCTGGACTCCACATTCAACCCGAGAGATGCTGCGCTTTCCTAAGGAATGATTGATGATCATTTTAGGAACAGAGCTAGAGATGTAGATTAAGTCAATGAGGGAGAGCTGACTGAGTAAGAAGTACATTGGTGTGTGAAGGCGGATGTCCATCCAAATCAAGAAAATAAGGACAGAGTTCCCTGTGAGGGCAATGAGGTAGACCACAAGGATCAAGTAGACTAAGAGGCTGATATGTTGGAACCCAGGAAAGAGACCCAAGAGGATGAAATCGGTAGTGGATGTGTCATTGGTCCTTTCCATCTGTCAGTTTCATCTGTGCCAACTATTGGATAATGAGAGGAAAACATAGGTCATCTGTTAAATCTTAAGCTCAATTATGCATCTTTTTAATTTTAGATTTTTTTTGTTCATATTTTCCTTACATCTTGTTGTATGCCAGCTGACCCTCCAGTGAGCTTTCAGAGGCAGTAAATTGTAAAGGAGACTGCCAATCCTACTTCTGCACAGCAACTGGTGGATTCAAACCACATGCCTTTCAAGTTGTAGCCCAGCTTCTTAGCAAAAGAGAACCAGAGTTCTCTACATCTTATATCTTAGCTGACCCAAATAATACCTTAACCATCTGAGGTTTGCAATTCAGAAAT